AACCTCTTTTAACCGAATAACAGATACAGGTGCTTAACGGTAACTATAATTGAGAAGAACCACTCCTCATCAGAAATGAATAATGCTTAAGCTCACCTTGCGATGAGACAGAAACAGATATCAAGAAGCACCAAAGTCACAGAACATATATAGGAATCGAATTCTTCATGACGCAGATCGCTTTGTGAGACCGACTTTTACGAAAGATGCGCAACTTAGTCGAATAAGTTTTATTTAATTTTCTCCTTATGGTAAAAACTTCCAGACTTCTTTTAACCAATGAGACCTGGATGTTACTTTATCGTGTTCTGTTTTAGTTTGATATCGATCTTTATTCATTTACCAACAGGTTTTCAATTCATTGAGAGAAAAAGGATCATTTCATCTCACTTTACTAAGTTTCTCGATGATTGCTATCACTAACAGCTGTAAGTAGGACGTAATTCTTTCATTTCAGCTCACATCGGCGAAAAGAAACAAACAAAAAGGGTCATATAATCAGACCTTTTCTGAATGGTAACTTAAGAGAGATATTGGCGGTGTAATATTTCTTAGTTTTAGTGACAGAAACACGAATCCGCGAACATTATTAAGAGTCGTCATAGTTCCCCGTAAAAATTGCATCGACCGCGTAAGAAGGAAAGTTAACTGTGAACTAACAGAAATAATTCTCGCCCTACGCTTCCACTTGGTAGTATAAAATTGATTGGTCAGTTTTGAAGTGGTTGGCATTTGCTACGTCCCAGTCAGCAATGTGATTCGAACCACGTTTTTCTAAAGACTGATACTGAGACTGAAACTCTTTGCATTGGACTTACTAATTGCATCAACTACATTTGTAAAGGTGGATCACTTCTAGATCAGACTTTCCTAAACAGATGTCTTCAACCACCGCAATCGTATGAAAATCTTACTCACGACTTTTAAATTATAAAAGAGCCAAGCAGAACGACCTGACTGTACCTAAAGAAAATAGGGGAAAATTGAAAATTATCAATCACGACTGCCTTACGCACTTTAAAGTCCTACAACCCATGAAATTGCGACAGAACAGGCCAATCCGTTCACGTGAACCCGATTTTTACGGATCAAGCACAATCAAATCGAACTCAGCTTCTGCTCAAAAATATTTGAGCAGAAATGCCTTCAATTTTGTAGCTCGCTTAAGTGTTTTGAGGCCAAGCACTTAAGATGGTAAAACTGATTTTTTTTTCAAGACATGGAACGTTCAGTGATTGGCTCAACGCAACAGATGAATAATGGCAAGGCTGAGTTCTTTTTGGAAACCAATAAACGTTAGTAGATCAAAAAGGATCGAATAGATGCTAAGTTTATGCAGAAGATCTAAACGATGTTTTGAGTGGTTTTTGTGGTTATTTCTGACCAGAACTGATATTAATCACTGTGGATATGTTCTCGCCCTTAGCTTTTCCACTTGTATCTTCTCTCCTCGTTACAAAATTTAAATTTGTTTTGAGTGATTCAATTGAATTACGCTCTTCAAGTGCAATCTCAGAAAAAGACAACTTTGTTCTGAAATTAGAAACTGGAAATCACCTTTGATAAAGTCCTCAACAAAAAATACTGCATCAGTTTGATCTTGATGTTTTATTAGTTCTTACCCCTTAAGCTACATATACTTTTTAAGGTCTATATGGGTGTGGCTCGAGGTCCATCAGCTTAGGGACGGTTTATTGTCACCCTTGTCACTGCACCAAAATGTATCCCATGGTTTTGATGTGTTTCCCTCCATTATCTGAAGATGGGCCATTAGCTGCCTCGTTTCCACACGTGTTGGTGTCATCATGATATCCTCCCGTACCAAAACCAATTCTAGAATCAGGGGTTACGCAGTCTCCCTCATTATTCCCAAGGAAACCAATCCTTGCTCTGGAAGAGCCGTTATCACTACCCATAGTATTGAACCCTTCTTTGTTGCAGTTATGCTGCAAGGACGCCGGCGAACCAATAAGCGTCTTCCACGTGTTACGACCCAGTGAGGTTGCGCGGTATTTTCCATCAGCGAGGAGTGCGTACAGTGAGTTGGCTTGCCTGTTGATGACAATGAACCTGGGCTGATGAAAAATCTTCATACCGAGGCAGATCTTGGAGAAGGATGTGTTCCAGTAGGTCGGT